CTGCAGTTCCTCCAATGGCCACTAAAATCAATCTCCATCAGGGCCCATATTAAAATGCCCAACTTTGCAGCAGCAATAGACATGTTAATAGCCTGGTACAGTTCTCTATAGTTAATTTTCCTGTTCATGACAAGTGTCAAGGGTATAAATTTTTATATAACTCAATCATTTAAATTATATTAAGGCTCAAGTTATGCGTAACTAAGGGAATGGCCACTTTGAGGGACAGGTGAGTTCCATCAAAGGTGGATGTTAACAATAACCCGGCTCAGCTCCACCTCTTTGCCCATTTTTGTATTTGTCGGCAGATTCAGGACTGCCAAGATGGCAACGACCAGAGCCGACCACACTGAGCTTCACAACAGCTCTTCAGAAAACTATGACTAACGTAATGGAGACTACGTCCCTTTTTAATCATACAGTCTGTGATTGGAATTTGACTCCACTGGCCACAATGACTGGAGCTGGTCATGCCTGAGAAAAGAACTTTACATCAAAAGCATCCTTGATTGAAATTTACTACAGTATGTGGAAGCTGTGTAGCACTATAAATAATTTGCAAGAACCTTGTTCTAGTAGCACCAGAAATACTTATAGTGAAAATGCAGCATACAATCCTTAAATTAGAGGCTAAAGATACAGTCTTACTGGGTGTCTATTGTAGAACTCCTTAACTGTAATTAGAGGGGAAAGCCACCGATTTTACATGTCAAGTCAATGTACTAGTCACAGAGAATACAAAAGATGCTATTGAGCTGCATTATGGGAAGTGTAGGGTTCATAGTTTTTTTTTTACTTTTGGGAGGGTAGTACTAAATAGCTGAACTGTCCCTTTAATATGTTACAAAGTTATTTTATGGTTGTGATTCATAGAGAGAAACATCAGTTTATCAGGTATCTGTGCAATATTTAATATTTGCCTGAATAAAATGAGATCCTTGTGAATCCGCGAAGGAAAGGGAAATAACAGGACGCTTTTTTAGGCTTAAATTGTTTGATCATTTTCCATATTCCATATAGCACACTTCTTTTTTCTGTTTACGCCAATTTAATTTAAATGGGTGGAACTATCACCTCAAAGTGTGGTTTACCACAGTAGCTGTTAATTACACAGTGAGCATATATGTCACATAACTTGACCCCTAACTGACTTATCACTCAGCTCGCAGGTCATGCAACTCATCATAACTCAACACTGCATGTGGGCTTGAGATAGAGTAGAAAAGAATGAGAGAGAATGAAAGAGTGAGAGAGAGAGATGAAAGACAAATCAGGGATGAGATTAGAAGAACGAAAGAGTGGTAGAAGGAGAAGGACGGTGAGAGATGAAGAGCAAAAGAGCACGAGAGGGAGAGACTGGTGTGGCTAGCCAAGCAGAAAAGGCTGTCAGTCTCTATAAAAGATCTCCTCTGTCAGATTAGTATGAGAGAGCTGCTCTAACACACGCACACTCTTTCTCTCTTTTCACCCTAATGTCTCTCACTCCTTTCTTTCACGATTCTCTCACTCCATTTCCTTCTTCATGTCTCATTCTCATTTGTCTCTGCTCTCAGAATTATTTATTATCATATACGGAACTGCTTCTGGTTTTCTTTTTGCATGTCAGATTAGCATTGATATATTTTTACACACAGCGATCCGCCTGTGTGTATTCTCTCAGGCAAAGGAGGGCTTGTACATATAAATGACTGTGTTGTTGTGTTGCTGAATGAGTGAGTATTTGCTCACAAGGCTTTTGTTCAAGGCTGGGAATATCATTAGTGATAATTAGTCTGTGATAGGAGCTCTGGCTGAGGAAGAATGACTACATGTAGCTCAGACTGGATTCAGTGTTCTGGGCTAATGGTGATGGGCACTTTTTCCATCTCTTCCATCTATTATCTCTGACAGTAATGTTTCATGACACTTGGGTCTCTTATAGTCCCCTATGTAATTCTTATTGATTTTCTCCAAGTTGTCACTCAGCTAAAGGCAACATTGCCCATCCAGTCAAGCTCTTGCGATATGTCCGTTTCCCCAAACTTGACTTTGTCCCACATTAGGGAGGAGTCAGTAAGAAAACAAACAGTGTGATGAAAAATATTAAAAACACACTAAAGGACTTTAAAAAGTATAGTTTTACAAGTTTACTTTAATTGTATTTTCTCTCTGTCTCTCTTTAGTCATACTCAGTGGGTGGTTTGGGCGACGAGGACTTCAACATTCCGCCCATCACTCCCCCCACCCTGCCAGACCACATGCTGCCCCCGCATCTCCCCCATGATTCCCCCTCTGGACCGTACCACCCTCTGGACCCACCCTCCAGCTCAGCTCCGCACCACCCCTACCAGCTCCAGGGCATGGATCTCCCTGGCATGTCTGGTAACCAAGATGGAACTACTATGTTGAACCAAGATGGCCGCACATTCAGCCCGAATGGCGGCCCAATGACCAGCACTCTGTCTGTGGTATGTGGTCACCAATAAATCACACATATTAATGCTGTTTTTGCTTTAGTAATGAATGACATAACATTGGAAAACCTGACCTTTAGTCTGTTAAACCACTACACAATGCCTTATATACACACACACACACACACACACACACACACACACACACACACACACACATATTCAGAAGTACCATAAAACTTCAGTTAATAGCCCAGGCTTTTATTTGCTTCAATCTCTGAACTCAACCTGCCTTTAACTGGAACAGGCTTCTATATGGGACAGGCCTTTAATACCATTTGAAACTTTCCTCCTTCAGCACAGACATCATTCTGCACAGTAAAGCTCAAATATCAAGGGGAGTAAGAAAAGCAATATTTAGTTCAGATCGACTATCGATCGGCTATACAGCAGTGTTGTGAATGTAAACTGAGAGCTATGATATTGGATGTTACAGGGACTTTTTGCTCAGATTGTTTGCATACTGTGGGCAGATTTCCTAAAACTCGACTGTAAAATCCCAATATATTGTCCTGCTTGCAATATCGCAATATATTAAATCGTAACCCCTGTATTGTGACATGTATCATATTGCCAGACTGTTGACAATACACATCCCTACAAACAACTCAGTGAGTGAACTAAGGTTACAACAGTGACAGTTTAGCAATAACCATCTCAGAAAATATGACGGTTTCACAGTATGACACAATTTTTATTATTAAATTACAATTACTCTTTTTCGTTGAATTATTATAATTTCACAAAAATATTATGTCCCAAATTGTTTCATAACACTGATACAGTAGAATTCTATACCATAGATAAGCAAATGTACACAGTATGATAACCTTCCATTTTCACACCATGGTATTGGTGAGTGAAGGGGACTTTTAAAGAATGGCAGACATGGAAGTTGTCTTCAGCCGCGAGTAGAGTCTGTACATGCCCACCCATTACTTAGGAGAAGTCCAATCAGACATAATAAGTGACACCTGTGTTGATAAACTAAGGGCGTTTTCACACATACCTCATTTGGTCCGGACCTTCGGACTTTTCAGTTTGGTCCGAACCAAA